TTTCCTTAGTTGACAGCGGCCAGTCAGAAATCCTACTGTTAAGCGTCGATTTTTCCTGGTCATCGCCAGATATTTCTTCGGCGCCAGCTTCCCAGGGTCGCCGAGGGTGATTCTGGCAAGATTGCATCCTTTGAATCCATCCCATCTCTTTAGGGATTCAGCATGGGTGTAACATTTGGTCAATTCCGCAATTGTCGAAGTGCTCAGGCCGTAGGTGCCACTGGGTTCTAAAATTCTTAGTCCAGCCGCTTCTTCGGCTAATGAGTCGACAATGCAATTACCTTTACTCCTGTCATCTGCTGTCAGTGCAGATTGTTATGTTTCTGCCAGAAATTCCTTTCCTGGTTATTTCTTTTGAGGCGATTTCCCATTCCCCACTCAATCCTTAGGCTTAGTGATCTGGAGTACACTCCACATCCTGAGCCTTCTTTGGTTTTTGAGCCGTCTGTATATATGCGTATTGCTTTTGTAGCATCTCACTCTGTGTTCCAGGTTTGTTCCAGGTTTGTGAACCCACAAACATTGGTTCAATTGCATCATTGGTTGCCTGCAGCAGAGGTAGCGCATTGAACGCTTCTTGCCATAGACTCAGCCTCAATTGACCCATTCCTACTTTACACCAGCCGTGCGCAATCTTGGCCATTAACGCAACCTCCTTAACGTACAGGTTCAGAGAAGTCAGACCCGTAATTGATTCCATCGCCGCGGTTGGTGTTGTTCTCATGGCTCCTGTTATGTTTAAACAAGCCAACTTTCCATCCCCATGCAATAGCTCCGTACGTTAACAAAGGTCTTACTATTTCAGTGTAGATCCATGACCACACGGGGTGAAAGACCCCATGCTCGTCCCACTGTCCTCCGACATTGCTCATAAGCCACGTATGCTCTTTTTGCTCTACTCTGTAGGTGAGAGTTCCATGTTAGCTTCCTGTCAAGGATAGTACCAAGGTATTTCACCTCTTCAGGGAAGTTTAGTTCGCTTTTAAAGATTTCGGGAGGTTTTAAGCCCGATAAACTTCTCTTCCTGGTGAGAAGCTCCATCTCAATCTTCTTGGAATTGATCGACAGTGAGTGTTCCTTACACCATGTTTGTTCACAAATTTGCCGATCTGCAAGATAACTATGTCATCTGCATATGCAATTTTGTAGAATCCATTATTGTTGAGGTGATTAATCAGGGTATCCAGAACTATGTTCCAGAGAAGGGGTGATAAGACTTCTCCCTGTGGACATCCCCCCACGATCAGTCCTCTCACTGTGACGTCTTCTACATTGATACTTATTGCTCTACTAGAGAGCATCTTGAGTATCCATTCTCACACTACCAGGGATACATTCCTGAAGTTTACTTGCTGGGTAACTGTTGGAAAGGTTGTTTTATCAAACGCTCCCTCGATATCTTTGAATATACCGAGGGTCCAAGCCTTGCTTCCATAGGGCAACTTTCCATATAGTTTAGATTTGAGAAGTTGTGGTTGTATTTCAAGCAATGGTTTCAAAACGTCGAATCATTTTTACTTGATCTGAAAAACCTTGAAAAATTTCGGTCCCATTGTCCCATATAAACACTATCACAGTCCGGAGTAAATAAGCTTTAGTGCCCGGAATGTAATAGTGTTTATGTGGGACAATGTAGCCGAAATTTCTCAAAATGGTATGCTGAACATGAAAGGTCCTCCAGACTTGGTAAATATTATTCAACTTTTCAAACCATTCCTAGGAATGCAACCACAAGTTCCCGAATCTAAACGATACGGAAATTTTGCACTATGCCGTCAAGGGTTGAAAACTCAATTATTTGGAATGCCTCAAAATTCATAAACATACCTAAGCATTGCAATGTAATACACTAAATTATCAAAATGACTAAGTCTACTCACCGGTTTTCAAATTAGCGTATCCACATTGTCACTGGTAAATGAAATTCAGGTAATAAAGGCATTAAGGACCGTCTGTTATTACCTACTGTAGTTGTTTCGTTTTGTTAATGGATTTGCAATATATCAGCTTGAAATATATTTGAACTAATGCAGTCTATGACACTGAATCTCACAGAACTCAAATTGATATTTTCCAAGTAATTCGTTGCTAACAAAAAATTGACCCAATACGTTGATGATAATTCCTTGACTATATTTCACAAAGAGCCTGTTACATTGAAGAAGGAAATACTGGAATAAGAATTGAAGACATATAGTCGTTAATAATACTCAATTATCCATAGTAAAGTTGGAAATTTCTATAGGTATATTTGTTGATTGCCATATGTCCAGGAAACATCACTGTCACTATCGAAATTAATTTATATCTTGTAAACGGTAATAGATAGGTATGGGGAAATAGTATATGAATTTGTTGACAAAGTGATAATGAATCATAATATGATATTATATACGGGGTATTTCATTTGAAAAATCAAAGAAGCCGCTACTTTATAGTAGAAGCGACAACGCCGCTTCGTCTGAAATATTTTAGGCGTGTAAGTCATATTGATTTATGCATACTGTGAAATTTTCAGGTTGATCCGTTAAATAGTTTGTCAGAAACGGCTTTTTAACGCTCATCATGAAAAGCCCTGTATACAGTCCTGTACACGTTGAGAATTTTTCAAAATAATCCCGATAACATTGGTCACTTTTGACGCCGGTTATATATGTCCAATACTTTTTTTGCAAAATTAATATCTTGACATTATTCTGTTATAATTGGTAGTTATCACAATCAGTCAAAACCACCAACGAAAGTCTGACGATAAATAATTGGTTTATTTATTTTTCCAAAGCACACTATTAAAAAATAATAATGTGTACTGTTGTACGTTAGAGACCAATACCTCAATGTATACAAATTGTAACTTTTTCTAAGGTAGGTACATACCAATTTCGAATTGACTGATCTGACAGTTAAAAAACTGGATCAAAAAAAAATATTACTAAGTATTAAAAAAAATGTTGAATATCCAAAATAAGTGATGAATTCAAAAAAACGAGCAAGAAAACCACGTCAGTTTCCGTTTGAAACAGTTTATCTCGAAAACGGTTCAAAATAGAAATATCAGCATTTATAAAAGTTCATGTTTGGTAAAAAAAATATGGAAATTAATTTATATATTCTAATATCTTCTAATATGATATTATATACGGAGTGTTCCATTCGCTACTTTATAGTAGAAGCGATAACGCCGCTTCATCTAAAATATTTTAGGCGTGTAGGTCATATTGACTTATGCTGTGGAATTTCAGGTTGATCCGTTGAATAATTTGCCAGAAACGGCTAATTAACGCTCATCATGAAAAGCCCTGTATATTCAACTAGCGTACCGCCTCGACTCCGCATGGGTTCAATGCGGATGCTAAATATAAATTCACACAGCGGAAATTTAAGGACATGAAGAAACAGTGATGAAAATATAATTTCGTTGGACGCCCCTTTCTCTCCCGCAGCTGGCGCCCCAGTTGGAATATTTGAAAATCCTTTCTTATTGCACATCTACAATATGAAACAAGCCTACATAAAAAAATCAGCCTCCAAAAATATATCAGTATGGAGAAACAGTGATGATATCAGTATGATTCCAGTATGGAGAAACAGTAATGAAACGGTAACTTCGTTTTATGAACTTGCCTTTTTTCCCCGCGTCCGGCTTCCCAGTTGTAATATTTGAAAATCTTTCAAAATTTCAAAATCTGTTTTTCCGTTAATCAGCTGTCGCCCCCATACGAACGACAACTCTCAGAAGTTGAGAAACTTGTGCGAGCTAAGGACTAACGAGGTCTTACCTTTCAACGTGTGATTCCTTATACGGTTGCAGAATCATCCCAGCTTCAACCAGATAAATTCTATCGAGGAAAATATCTGGTCGAGGCAGGAATCGAACCCACGACCTTCCGATCGTGGGTCGGGCGCACTACCACCGCGGCCAATTCTACAACATAAAATAATGCACACGCAACAATTGCACATCTACAACATAAAACGAGCCTACATAGAAAATTTCAGCCTCCAAAAATGTAGCGGTACGGAGAAACAGTGATGGAAAGGTAACTTTATTTTATGAACACACCTTTTCTCCCGCGGCTGGCGCCCCAGTTGGAATATTCCAAAATACGTCGTATTGCACATTTACGACATAAAACGAACCTTCATACAAAATTTCAGCCTCCGAAAATATGGTGGTAAGGAGAAATAGTGATGAAAAGTGAATTTTAGTATGTATACGCTCCCCTTTTACCCCCACTGCGAGCTCATTAGAATTCTTGAAAATCCTTTCTTAGTGCGCATCTTGAACCTAAGAAGCACCTACATACCAATTTAAAGCCTTCTAGGACTCACCAGTACGGAGAAACAGAGATGAATCAGTGAGTGTATTGATTCATGTGTCCTTGTGAACAAAAATAGTTTCAAATTTCTACGTAAAAGAAATTTGGATTCTTGAAACACTCACAGTAACAAGTATTTTCTTTATCCAAAGTTATTGCCACTCATAAAAGCAACAAATAGTATCGGTATAAAATTTTGTACTTGTTACTTGTATGTTGCATCAACTGTATTATTTTTCACTATAGACATATCAGCTAGATACTTTAACTATTTTTTTTGTCTTTTTCCACTTACTCAAACATGAAATGAAAACATATAAAACCAAATGTTTAATTTCCCTAAAGTTAGTCTCTCGTAGGAAATATTTCATCTCGAATTAAATATAAAATGATCTTTGGAAGGCTTTTTTTGTGGAAAGTCATTTTCACTTGATGGTTTTGGATTTTTATTCTACCAGAAGAAAAAGAGAGTTATGACTAACTGGACCCTTCAGAGGTTTATATTACTTTTTGGGGTAAATCTTCCAGTTTGCCTATGTTATACTTGAGCAAAATAATATCTTTTATTACATTAATTTCTAGACTGTGGAAGGTTAAAAACATCACTATATCAATAATAAGTATCAAATGAATGACTCACTACAGAAAAATTGGTTTTCCATTAGAGTAACAGTACTTTCAAACAATTATAAAGAATTTACTACATTTACATCATTTCCATCCAAAATATCACCACTAGTTCTCAAAGAAAAATCACAGGAAGTTTTATGAAATTGCATACTTAGTTTCTCACTTGAACAAAAAATTCACTTAGGGAACAACTTATCGTATGGAACCTGGGCAAGAGCTTTCAACAAAATATCTTCAATTATAGTGGTCAAGAGCTCCTCGAAAAATGGTGTTGTTTGCCTGAATATCTCATCAGCGTTGTCATTTATCAATTTGTTGGTCAGCTCACCTGAAATTACGATCAAATTATAATAAGACTCATGTTTCATTATTTCGTCATTAGTCTAGTTACTAACATATTTTCGACCCTCTTGATATATTTTATTGTATATAAACCAGAATCGCAAAATCGTGTTACACCATTCATAACTCAAGAACGGCCGGACCCAATTTCATGATTTTTTGTTGAAAATCAAGAAAAGGATGAGATTGAACAAATTGACGACGTTCAATGTTAGGTTATGGCAGTTCAGTTGAAATACTGCGCGCAAAGACACTTGAGGTTTTGATATTTGTGATTGTGCGCGCATGAATAAGCAAGATTCCACTGTTATGTACAAATTATCGAACGGAAAGATCGAACTTTCACATCGAAGTCGTAATGCAATTAGACAACGAAATATTGCGAATCAATCCATTATAAATGAAAAAATAAATCGCATGGGAAAAGCGCCGTGTTCAGTGTCGCCAGTTCTAATGTTTTTACAGCTCTCAAGCTGATTGTACTGTACTGTTTGAGTGTCGAAATCAACCGATGAATCAGTTTACTTTTTTCTTTCTAATCATTAATTGCCTGTGAATAGTTAAACTCACCATACATTCGGTATGTGTATCTATGAAATATTTTTTTTCACTATATTCTGTATCAATCTACTATTTTTATGACACAAAATCTACTACTATGACATTGTGCTTCACAAACACAATATAACTCAGCTAATAAAACAACATCTATTAATTCTGAGACGGTGTGAAGTTCGCCACGTCTGTCTGTCTGTCTGAAAGCCATATACTACCGAACGGATTTTCATACGGTTTACACCGGGATAGTGGGACTATTCCTAGTGAAGAAAACGATAAAAATTCATGCCAAGTAGGTAGTACCGATTAGAGTCGTATGCATTTTTTTAAAGAAAAATCCCAGATTTTTTTTCATTGAAAATATGGTTCAAAGGATTTTTAAGGCATTTTGTATGGAATTCACCATTTTCGAAAGGATAGTAACAGAAATGATTCGACTCGAAAAAAAAAATCGTCAATGAGCTGAGAATTTTATGAATTTGCCACATCAAAGATGATTTCAGAGAAGGTGAAGTAAAATTCCACCTAAACCAAACATGAAAAATATGTGGGAAAGATAGTTTTCTACTTTTTTATGTTTATACAAAAATTGTTGGAAAAGATGCATTAAGTATGAAATGTAGATATACGAGTATAAGAATGCTTGTTTAGAAAGAAAACACATCATTGAGACGTGAAATGGAAATGAGTTGATGAGCGTTAACCAATAATCAAGATGTTAATGATTCCACTTGTTAGCGATCCTCTTCACCAGCAATTTATTATGGGCAACGACTCGTTGCTGAGACTTCGAAATATAACTCTCTTCCTCGCAGTCAACGCACATACTATTGCCGAAGTAGCAGACGAAACGTTTTGGTATTTCAGGATCCACTTGATCACGGCCTACCAGCCCGGATTCCAACCTCTTTGATTCATATGATTCATGTATTTTCATTTCTATTCATTTTGGATGTTTTTCGTTTTTTGAATCAGCTCATTTGAACCCAAAAATTGTTCAGTCCCAATCTCTTTGATATTTGAGTTTGAAATACTTTCAACAAATTACAAATCTGGTAACACTTTTTCAGGCAATCAAATCTCTAAGATTCAAAGGAAACATTGTCAGCCACATTCAAATAAACATATTTATTATGGAACGAAATAAATACTTATGAAAATTTAGACTTACCCAGTTTTTCATCGCCATCGAATAATCCATCCAAGCGTGCTACAACCTTTCCCACTGCTATGGAAATTTTTGTTTCCTGCACCTTCAGGTAATCCACCCCTCTTTTTTCCAGTATCTCCACTGTCTCGGTTAAATTTGCCTCACCATTACCTGATATGTTCAAATAGACATGAGAGTGTTTGCGATTTACTTCATACCAGATAGTTTCAGATCAGATATGCCAATACTGAAGTTTTACAGTTTATGTGATATAGTCACAGTACCACTGTAACAAATTTACTGTCTAAGCTGTGCCTTTACTAACTGTGATAAACCTTGTTTTGATTGAAGGGACGTTGGTATTTTTTTGTTCGAATTGAAAGGGGTATATTTTTAGAAAAAAACAGTCACAAATAATAAAACTTTGGGCATATGGTAGCGGGTACATTGTAGTTTCTTCTACTCATAGGAGTTTAGCCTATCCGGACCTGGAACAGTAAAGTACTTAGAGGCTCAAAGAGCTTTTCGGATTCCTCCGGTAATTATCGGTTCGTGTATCCCATTTTGTTGGGGGTTGTTGAAGTTCCGTAAAAAATTCGAACCGCGCTATGACTGGACTAAGGAGTTTGAGTGGTTGTGAATGCTCATAAATGACCTCCTTCCAGAAGAATTCCACTCGATCAGCGGTTGGAGAATTATCCACAACACGTGAAGGCTTTTGAAATGACTGAGTAGAATTCTCTAGAGATTTTATATTTTCCATGATCCTTCTCGCTATCCCCACTAATAATTTTTCAGCCACCACTCTTCAATTCGAAGTAGGATGTGTATAAGTCATAGCTATTCTCCTCATGGCAGGAGTTAAATATCAAATAGGCCTGATTGTACCTTTCAGGTTGAAAAAGTACTTGAACGGCATTTCACATGGCGGTGTTGATTTGCCAAATGTGAACCTCTTCTGTAAGAGTAGTATTAACCTCTACATCTACTTGAGCCAGTTGCTGTGGTTTCAGGGATCTGATCTGGTGGATTGCCCTTCGTATTCCGATTGCGATGTGAGGCTCCGGTCCAACCAAGTCGATGAACGCTATAGCTGCCACCTCTACTGCTTAAATAACAGTGTGAGAAACCACAAAGCTTCGCCGACGAGGTTGGGCCGATTGCGCCCATCCACATAGCTCCAATATACTCGTTGGGCGCACTGGTATCATCAACCAATGACTAAGTGGAGTAAGGGATTACTCTGTCCGAGAGTCATGTGCCCTGAGTAAACGCAATGACAGTCGTATATATTTTGTCGTAATGCGGCAAAGATCTGGTAGGATCTTGAGGTCTTGAGAGACTAGGGAAGGCTTCATTTAACCAAAGGCTTCAACAATTGAAACAATCCACTATTATCATCACTATTTCTTCATGTAAAAGATGTGCCGGTCAGCTTCAACCCAATTGAGAGGCCAACCAACACCATCAACCAATGGCCACTCCTCACTACCGTGGGGTGGGTGATCATTGGGTTAGAAAATTGTGCACCTAGGTATACAAGAGGTATACAAGACTAAGTTTTCTACCGTTCTGAGGCAGCGGACCTGTGTTCGCGTGATCTTTATTTATTTTCAATTTCAACCCCCACTGAGTTATGTACGCCATCAATTTCATGAACAAAGTTTCAATATTTTTTGTTTTGCAGGAAATCTTCACTTCAAAAATAGAATCAAATGAATTGAACGTCTCATAACTTTATAAAAAGTCAATACATGCTTATCATAACATTCTCAACAAACTAAATTATAGAATTGCTTCATATTACGCTCTAACATAGTTGTAAGGACCTAGTTTCAGTCTTCTCCTGATGATACTTGATACACTCGAATCAAGTGACAGTGCTTCAGTTTAGGAGAGAGTGGTGTATTTTTTTTTGTTCATTTTGGGAGGTTTCAATTCTTCCAATCTGTCAGGTGTTAGTAATTATCTGTCCCGATAACAGTCAAGAGTCAGAATTGATTTACAATACCTCTGTTTTATAGATTTGATTCAGAGATGGATATTTCAGAAGGACTGGTTTTCTTAGTGACATAGAATGGTATATGTCTCTAAACTGCTTCAATCCCCATCATCATTAGCTACTCATGAAATAATTAAATTACTTCTCAATCTGATCCAAAGATAAATTCATCAAATTAATTATTAGGGTAGTGGTTCAAATTACCGAAAATTGAAGTCAAATTTCCTTTTCCTACCACAGGAGCTCCCAAAATCTTTCCTTCGATATCATAGTTCGATACCAACTTGATTTCTCTGCATAGGCATCTAGCTCTAAATTGTAAATTTGGCACGTCAAACCTGCAAGCAAATGCAAAAAATTCGCCGTCAGTATTTTTTCAACTTTTGAGTGGATATTAATAAACAATAATTTTATCACTCGAAAAATGAAAAAACTTACTCGAATGATGGGCACGTATAATCTGTTAAACCGTGTACCAACACATTTGTTAAGTTAGCTTTGAAATCCAGGGCCTGTGTCTTTTGATCTGCATAGATTTTTTCAATGAAGAGTGGTTCAAATGGTGGCAAATTCAACCTGGGAATACCTTTTGCAATGAATGGCTTGGCTGATTCCAATGCATGAGCAATACAATCGTTCAGTTTTTTGTCTCCTCTGTGGCAACGTGGAAAGTCCGATGCTGAAAAAGATCATAACAGTGCAGTATAGAAAATCCATTATCGCTCAGTTCCTTCAAGATTGGAAAATGAAATTGGAAACTCCGGTTTAATATTTGTAACGTCGTTTCTCTGTTGTTTTTCTTTTCATTCAGGTAACTCAGATGAATTGCAATTGAGTAGTTTGATTCTTGACTCATGGAGTTCAAACGAGATTCCGGTCCGAATATGTGATGAATCAGGCGTTCTTCGCTCAGTTTCATCTTTATCTAAGTATTTGTTCAAAGCAGCAACGTGTGGTATTACTTCTGATACACAAGATAGACCAGAACTTGTGTTATTTTGGTTATTTCTTCGAAGAAATTGAATATATTGTTGAACTGCTTAATTAATTGATGAGTATATCGTGTTCAGCAACTTACAATGATATGGCCGCGATCAATCATATGAAAAGTGGAATTCCACCAACTGGTGATATCTTGTACTAACTGATGGTCGGGTAAAAGCTCTTTTTGAATCATCAGCAGTTTTTTCATGAGCTGAACATGAGTGATTGAAATGCGTCATAAGTCGTCTTCCAGTAGTAATTATTATTGTCACTTCAACCTGAACTTTGAGCGACTCATTTATGGCTCTTTGAAGCGTATGTACGAAACATCTAGCAGAATCATACTCAGCCAAACGAGCATCCTTCACCATGATGGTTCCACTATCATGAATTATTAAATTTATTTAAGTGTGGTCAATATCCCAGCGGTTGCTATATTTCATTCTGCGTGTGAACCTGAGAACCTTCGCATTCTAGTTTGAATTCAGGTGATACCCAAAAAGCTGTTAAACTCAGAAAGCTAGCATTATTGTGTAAGCAAGTCACTGAAATAGCGAAAGAACTCAAAATTTTATATGTAATCGGGAACTACTTGATGAAAATCCATAACGTATTCAAGAAACACTTTACTGTGAGGTTTTTTCTACTCAGTTTTACAAAAACGCAACACGCGTTTCGCTATACAATAGCTTCTTTAGGCGTGTCTATACTTATAGAATAGTCGTCCAGACAATTCTGAAGACGATATAAATCGAAATTCCTCTAAGAAACTAGAGTATCAATAACAGTCCGATAATTGGGAACAAGTGACAGTCTTCCTGTATCAAGCTCAAAACGCCCAAAATACAAGAACACTTGGTCACTATACGAGACTGCGCGCCTAGAGAGGTAGAAAAAAAACGAGTAGTGCGTTGGGTATCTGAAAATCTTCTCTATTCACGTACCAAATCACGTTTTCGTCACCATTATAGTATTTGTGCAGTAGCGGTTTGACACGAACGTTTTTTTTTCCTCGTGCCGAAAACCATGTGTGACGAAAAACAGGAGCAACGTATCTCGTGCGCGTGTTTATGAGTGGTGTAAGCGCTTCAGTGAGGGCCGAGAGAGCATTGAAGATGACCAGCGCCCAGGTCGCCCTGTCACTGTTTCAACTCCGGAAACAGTGACCAAAATCAAACAAATCGTGCGTGCAGATCATCGAATGAGCATCTGGATGATAGCCGAGGCTGTAGACGCCGATAAAGAAACGGTTAGAAAAATTTTAAACGAGGAATTACACATGACAAAAGTCTGTGCAAAGTTGCTGCCAAAAAAAACCTGACTCCTGACCAAAAGCTCTCGCGTTTAACAGATCTGCTCAGATGCCCTCGAAAGGTTAGAAGAAGATTCCGGACTGATGAAAAACATTATTACTTGCTACGAAAAGTGAATTTTTCAATAAGATGTTGAAACAAAGCGGCAATCGATACATTGGAAGACGCCTGAATCGCCCAAAATCAAAGAAGCAAGGATGTCCAAATCAAAATTCAAGGCAATGTTGATCGTTTTTTTCGACATAAACGGTATCGTGATGACTGTATGGGTTCCAGAGGGTCAGACTGTCAACCAGACTTACTATTTGTCAGTTTTGGCAACACTGCGAGAACGAGTTCATTAGAAACGGCCCGAGTTGTGAAAGAACAACTTCTAGATTTTGCACCAGGACAACGCACCTGCCCATAACGCGCTATCTGTGAAGCGGTATTTGGCCGATGAACGCACTCCAGTGCTCGAACACGCGATGTACTCGCCAGATTTGGCACCGTGCGACTTTTTTTTGTTTCCGAAGATAAAATCTGCTTTGAAAGGTACCCGATTTGAGTCGATGGACGCGGTAAAGCAAAAAACGGCAGAGCTCCTGAAGGCCTTCACCAAAGAAGAGCAGCACTGCTTCGATCAATGGAAAAAACGTATGGAAAGATGTGTGGCGAGAAAAGGGGAGTATATTGAAGGGGAACATTCGAATGTAGAATAAATTTGATAACAAAACCCTTTTTCATGACTTTTTCATAACCAGTATCGTTATTTATCAGGACCAGGCAAAAATGACCTTCGTCGACCTCATCAAAGCACGAGCACCACTTTTCATGATGAGGAAATGAATCGACTTGTGTTACGTTGGCGAAAACTCACTGATTTAAATGGCGGCAATTTCGATTGAATTGAATAAGTATTCACTGAGATACTACAATTCAAAATAGACTCATAAAAATGAACAAAACTTATGAAAAAACCTAATAATAATAATCTCATAGAGCTAGTTCTCATTCTCTTTTGACCTAATGCGTACTCTGTCAGAAAAGGCGCAAGTTGCGATAGTTCACTCACAAATTGTTGATGAAAATCTGCAAAATCAGATAGGTAATATTGTAAAAAGTGATTTTTTAGTAATTTTGTCAGGTTTGCTCGAAAAGTATACTTTTATTTGTGAAAATAGACGTTCATGGTTAGATTATATTGTTTCGTATGAATTCATGTCAAGAATCCCAAAAAGATAGTTTTCTCTGAAAATATATGTTTTCTTCATGAAATAGAGAAGTAATTTTATTCACATTGTTTTTAGATTTTAATGAAATGTTCAGGGGATTGTGCATGGAATTCGTTATGTGATAGTAAGAGTAACAGCTTTGGAAACGCACTACATCTGAATTCTTTTCGCACCTCTACATCACAAGTGTTTCTTTAGAAACCCACCTCCCAATTCGACTCTCAGTAAACTCATTGCTCACATAAAATTATTATATTTTTCACTTTCAAATTATCCTCAATCTGGCTCTTGTATCTAGGATTTTGCACTCTTCATTTCTTCAACCATTTCCTAAAAATACTAACATTCTAAACCTGAATTTGGAGTTTATTCCCATTTTACAAACCTTTTTTCTAAATTATCGAGGTATAACCAAGATATTGTAGTCATTTTGGTTACGTGGTTGTTCCACTTCTATGTAATGATAATGATGATGATAATGAAAATAATATCATAGAATACAGTAGAGAAAAAATCACATACATACGTAAACATAGCAACATGGGTTACTTGTGCGTGACTATAGTAAAAACTCCATCATGAAATCCTAATTTCACAGATTACTGTAACCAACATTTCCAAGGTTTCTACAAAGTGATGATCAACTTCTATGTTGTCATACATAGCAACTTTTGTGTGTTGTAAACAATTTTACCTAGTTCTCAACATTCATCTTACATCAAAGTGTGTAATTTTTTCAAGAGTCAACGAATTCCGGAGTCACGTTCTCGCAACGCACCCATCCAGAAAGTTTAACAAGATTCTTGCATCAAAACTGTTGGATGAACTCAAAAGTAAGCATGAATATCCACTCCTACGAATACGCCATCTATAAAATTGATAGAACAATCGAACCTCACTCATTTAAAATAAGCAAGGATTCCCAAGGCGATATGTTTAAAAACCCATCTTCGATATTTTGACCATCGAATGAAAAATTGTCTTTTTTCTTTCTCTGCATTTGGGCAGTTTACTTACTCATTCCTTCAACAATCGTAGTTCAGCCTAGCCCCTCTCATGAGTACTGTGACAAGAGGAAAAATCGCTGTATTGTATTGGATCACGAGTTCTTCATTGTTGGATTCTGGATTCGTCTAATTGGCTTGCAGTGCAGTGCAGTGCTGCAGAGAAAGACAAAAGACGATATCACGTTCGGTGGTCGATGTCGAAGCTATAAGTAAGATTTGAGTTTTCTCATGTTCATTCTCAGGCTTATTCTTTAGGGACAGTCATTATTTAGTCTGAAACCACTAAAACCTATGGCCATTCCTAAAAACAACTGTCATAAGTCTTGAAGTGAGAGTATCTAGTTTTCCAGTTTTTGATAGAAATGGTATCGCGAAACCACGTCCTATTTTTGTCACTTTTTCTTGATAACTTAAGAATAGCGGTCCAGATGTAGGATCACAGAAAAGTAGATTCTTGCGGGTTTGAAACTGTGTTGAAAATATGTGAAGTAATTGAAATGATGACTTTTCAAATTCTTTTGTCGTTCTTGAACCTTCAAAGATCAATACTTCCAAATCACATATTCATGACGTACATGTCAATGAAAGTAGGTAACAAAAATTTTAAAAAAGTCATTCAGACACTAGTGATGTACACATTCACGAACCATACATTATTTGTAAAATATGTTTTATAACAGTTCTTAAATATTAGATACTCACGTAAATCTTTACTGCCGTAAACTACCATCACAATTAGCGAGCAAACAAAAAATATATAGTTCATTTCTTTGTATTTCATCATTCTCGTAGGAAACAAAATTCTTAAATGAAAATAAAAAAGTGTTGATGGTGCAGGACTTATTATATTTGAAGCACAGATTTTTTTTTGTTCACAATCGAACAAGTTTTTGAAATGATGCGAGAAAATTTGGAATTTTTGAGAAAGTTCGAAATATAATTTCCAATACGTCTCTAAGAAAAGTGTTTTTTGAGCTTGTCTTTCATTGTCTTTCTTTTCAAAAATATTTTTGTACGTACTAGTTTGCTGGTACACATTATTTTTATACAGAATAGAGTGTTCAGTGCCTTTTCTATGGAACTAACAAACACGTTGTTGTTTAACATTTAATAAGACAGCTTCCAGGTGTAACTGTTTCAAGTATAATTTTGATAATATACTGAGTGACATCGAAATGAGAACACCCGGTAACAACAGAAATATTTCATTTATTTATTTTTATTAACTTTATTGCAAGTTGCATCAACCTCTAGGGTTATTAGCGACTGAACAATGCATCAGTTGCAAGATACTATGTAAGGTTGAACAAGTTGACATTTTCTAAAAGTTTTACAATATTTTCAATATTATACTTAGGTCCTAATGCGTTGTTTATTGGAGGCGGGATGGTTGGTCTTTCGTTGGAGTAAAGCACACACTTTGTTGAGATATTATATGGTCAACAATTACGGGAAAGTCGCACACTTCACACATAGGGCTAGTGTCGCCGGCAATGAGGTATCCATGGGTAAGGCGAGTGTGGCCTATTTTCCGGCGAGACATTATGACATGGGTTTTCCTACATGTCGGGAGATGTATCCATGGAAGTACACTTGTTTTTACTCAGGAAAGTTAACTGAAAGACCCATTCCATTAATTTTACCATAATTCAGTGAGGATGTTCTTGAAGTAGGGTTTCATATCTGTATGGACAACATAGTTTTCGGTTTATTACTAGAGATTAATCCCAACACCAAACCGTTATTTTCAACACCTCGACACGTATTTCAATCAGCAAGGAAGATTAATCTAAAAGTGAGAACTGCATCGCAGTCTTTATATTTAGTTTAATTTCTT